TATAGTGTGCTGCAATGGTGCATGCAGATAGGCAGTTTCTACATCTAAGTGATTTATAATATAATTCTTCTTAGCTGCCCACACTAAAGCTGCTCTCAAGGTTGTTGCTTTTAGACTCGGTGCAAATACTTCATCATAATCACATGCAGTTTGATTAAATCCTTGAACTACCAACCTAGCCTTATGGGTAACAGTCCCATTTTTACCTGTTTTTAATTTAAATATCCATTTACAGCCAATGGACTTTTCACCTGGAGGTAATTTAACATTTTCATAAACTTCCATTTGTTTTAATGAATTTAATTCTTTCTCCATTGCTTTTTGCCAATTTTCCTGTTCCTTTACTGGATACATTCTAAGTTCTTCAACAGTAGTTGGAACTTTACTAACTTGGCAAACTACACTTGCTTGGTACCTGTCAGGTGGTCTGGTTTCACGTGTTGACCGTCTAGGTATTACAGGGCTTACAGGTGGACTTTCATGTACTACCTGTTCCTGGTTATCAATTTCTTCCTGTTCATCTATTTCTTCCTCTTCTGGCCCTATGTGCTCTTCCTGTACTTCCTCTTTAATTGTACTCTTCTTATTACTGATTTGTTGTTTTGGTCTTTTGTAGGTTTCTATGATTACTTCCTTACTTGAATCTTGTTCCAGTTTTTCCCATCCTACATGTTCAAGGAATTGTGCACTAGCACTACAGTAAACTCTAGGTGTACCTTTTTCCCAGAATCTGTATGATTTGTGATTAGATTCATAACCTACAAAGAATAACTTTTTAGCCCTATGCTGCCCCTTATGTCTCAGTTGTGTAGGAATATGCACCCATGCTGGTGCTCCAAATGTGTGCATGTAGCTTAGGTCAGGTTTTCTACCATGCCACCGTGTGAATGGTAATTCACCAGTTGTTGAGTTAACAACATTATTCAATATATGATTACCACACATTATTGCTTCTCCCCACAAAGTTTCAGGTAATCCTGAATCCGACAACATAGTACGAGCCATTGCCTGTATTGTTTGGCCTCGTCTTTCTATAAAGTAATTATGTTGTGGCCTATATGGTGCAGACTTTTTATGTTCAACACCTGCCATCTTCAGTCTATTTTTGAATTTATTATTTATAAATTCCGTACCATTATCAGTTACAAGAGTTACTAGTTTCCTTTTAGTTTTTCTTTCTGCAAACTTCAACCAATTAAAGAAATTTTGATATGTTTCCGTTTTACTCTTCATTAAATAACAGAAACCATATCTGGAATAATGATCCATTATACTTAGTATATAACGAGCACCTCCCACACTTGGTTTTTTAGGACCTACAATATCAGCAAATACGACCTCTAGAGGTTCCTTTGTCTTAAATCCATTTATTCTATTTGCTGGTATTACCTTGCTTTTTTCTTGACTGCACGCATTGCAGTGCAAATACTTACTGCTAGGCTTTAGTTTTATACCTTCAGACAGTTCAACCGTTTGCTTGAGCATTTTAAAATTTATATGCCCTAAACGTCTGTGTAACAAATGTATGCATTCATCATGAGGTTTAACGTTATTGTTAGGGATAACATTGTTTACCCTAACTGGTTTGGGTAAAAATAATAAATAAGTTATCATGGTTTGTTGGTTAAAGTGTGTGTAACTTTAACTACAAGAATGTAATTAAGTGTGTGGTTGTAAAAGCACCATAAAAGAAGCAAGTCAATTGCAGCTCTCTCTCTCTGGCTTAATGATCCCTAATTACTGGATGGATTGATGACTGCGTTTTTCCTTACTGGAACGGAGGAGAGAAAGGAGTGTTGATTTCTCAACGGAGAGAAGAGATAATACGGACTGATTTATTGTAAGTGAACTGACATTGACTATTCAACACGGACTTTGCAAATTGAGTATCCCCGACTGGACTGACTGAAATGATACATGACTAATGGACCGTTTATTTTGACTATGCTATAATTCCTAATGGAATAAACTATATTTTTGATAGCACAAGCGTATCTGTTTTTTACTGCGTGTTAACTAAAATACAAACTTATCTCACACATTTACCTGTCTGCCTATCTGACTACGCTACACATTCTGTTTAGTTTGTTTTCCTTAACACTCGTTGGGGAATTCAGGCTTAACACTGGTTATGGGCCCAGAGACTGCAAAGTCAGTTTAACTAGGATAAAAAACAGGTTTATGTAAAAAGTGAGATTTTGTGTTGTTACACGTTACAGTAAACAGACAGCTGTGTTTTTATTAATTATAGTTTTATATCCATATATTGAAACATGACACAAGTCAGTCTACAAAGTTTGTCCCTTATATACAAGCTGGATGGAACAAACTATGTTTCATGGTCTATGAAATGTAGTCTACTTCTACGAAGAGAAGGTCTGTGGAACATAATTGAAAACCCACCAAACGTAAAGGAATGGGATACTGAAAATGAGGAAGATAGTCAAAAGATAGAAGACTTTAAACAGAAAAATGAACAAGCTCTTTGCATGATAGGACTAACACTATCTGATCAGCAACTTGTTCATATACGCGAAGAGCAAACAGCTGTTGGGTGTTGGCAAAAACTGAAGAGGATTTATGTCCGAGATAACGTTGGTGCTCACATAAATCTAACACGGAAGCTTTTCCGGACACATCTCCAAAAGAATGGTGATATGCTGAGTCATTTGAATACTATGAAAAGCATTTTTCAAGAACTGCACGAGAAGGAGCTTATTTTCTCTGAACTACACCAGGTCTACATAATTCTATCTTCATTAGACGAAAGTTTTGATGACTACGTAACTTCCCTTGAAATTTTACCTAAAGAAAGCCTAACTTTAACTGATATCACTGGCAGATTGATTGAAGAGGCCAGAAGAAGGCTTGAAAGAGATCAGTTAAGGAGGGAGCAACCTCAAAAGGAAGATAATGAACCTACTGCATACGCAATTAAAAGGTGTTTTAATTGTGGAGGAAGAGGACATTTGGCAAGATTTTGTAAGAAAGCAAAGCACCAGAATGCAAGTCAGAATACTGGAAGTCATCAAAGAAAAAATAAAAATTTTGAGTTAGCCATGTATAGTAATGGAGTTGTGAAAAATAATTTATGGGTGGTTGACAGTGGAGCATCCCACTGTATAACAAATGATAACAAAAAATTTGTAAAAATGTCCATGAGTTCACAGCATATCTCATTGGCAAACGGATGGAAATTGAAAGCAAAAGGTGAAGGTATTGCACATTGTTCTTGTATAAAAGAGAACGTAAAAATGTTATATGTACCTCAACTTAAATTTAATTTGCTTTCAGTTAGAATGTTGGTTAGATTAGGATACGTAGTTACCTTTAGGGGAGATACTTGCTTAATTGAAAAAGAAGGTAAGAAAATTACTGCATCTTTAAGAGGTGAATTGTATATGTTAAATGATAATGGTTTAGAGGTGGCTAACACGGTTTATGATAATAAGAAACCTCATGATGAATGTATTCACTTGTTACACCGACGGCTAGGTCATTTAAATTTTAAAATGATTAAGAGAACTGTTCAACTATCTAAAGGAATAAGTTTGAAACCTTGTAATAAGTATTTGCAATGTTCTGCTTGCAATCAAAGCAAAAGCAAAGTCATACCGGCAAATAGAGTTGATGGATTTACTACCAAAGAGCCTTTAGAGGTAGTATTTGCCGATATAATAGGTCCTAAAAAACCAAGTGTAGGTGGTGCTCGATACATATTAAGCATAATGGACCACTATTCTAGGTATGGTTTCTGTTTTCTAATGAAGAGAAAAACTGAAACGTATCTAAATTTCTTTAATTGGTTAAAATTTGCAGAGAGGAAAACTAAAAAGAAATTAGTAACTCTTATAACAGATAATGGTACGGAATTTACAAATAATAAATTCCAGAGTAGACTTAGGATGGCAGGTATTCAACATAAAAAGTCTGCACCATATAGGCCTCAACATAATGCCTTTATAGAGAGACGAGGCCAAACACTGCAATCAATGGGACGGACTATGTTGTCTGATTCAGGATTACCTGACAATTTGTGGGGAGAAGCTATAATGTGTGGTAATCACATATTAAATAATGTTGTTAATTCAACAACAGGTGAATTACCATTCACACTGTGGCATGGTAGGAAACCTGATTTAAGTTACATTCACACATTTGGTGCACCAGCATGGGTGCATATCCCTACACAACTCAGAAACAAAGGACAGCATAGAGCTAAAAGATTATTTTTTGTTGGATATCAATCAAACCATAGATCTTATAGATTCTGGGAACCAGGTACATCTAGAGTATACTGCAGTGCTAGTGCACAATTCCTAGAACATATAGGATGGAATAGATTAGAACAAGATTCAGATAATGATATAATTATAGAACCCTACAAGAGGCAGAAAGAAAAGACTAGTTATAAGAAAAGTCCAATTAAAGAAGAAGTCCACGAAGAGCAAATAGAACCAGAACAAGAGGAAATAATTGATCAAGAAGAGATAGATAATCAAGAACAGGAAATAAAGGAAAGTCCACCTGTAAGTCCTGTAATACCTAGACGCACAACACGTGTAACCAGACCACCTGAAAGGTATCAGGCAAGTATATTTTGCCAAGTAAATAAAGTTCCTAATAGTATAGATGAACTTAGGATGTATCCTGTAAAGGATCAGGAGAATTGGCAAAAGGCAATTGAAAAAGAGTTAAATTCATTAAAGGAAATGAAAGTATATGAAGATACCAAATTACCTCCAGGAGAAAAATCCATTGGGTGCAAATGGATATTCAAAGTAAAGACTGGAAATAATGGGACAGTTACTTATAAGGCTAGGTTAGTAGCTCAAGCATTTAATCAAAATGCATTTGATTATGATGAGGTATTTGCACCAAATTTAAAGGCTACAAATTTAAGAGCAGCTTTAGTGTGGGCAGCTAAGAAGAATTATATCGTTAACCATTTAGACGTAGAAACTGCCTATCTACATGCACCATTGCAGCATACAATATATTTGAAAAAACCAGTTGGTATAAATGATAATAAAGCAAATAGCAATGATTGTTGGAAACTCAAAAAGAGTCTATATGGATTGAAACAATCTGGCTATGAATGGAACCAATATATTGTGAAAGAATTAAACAATATAGGGTTTAAATCTGGTTTAGCAGATCCATGTATGTTTAAAAGAGAAAATAATGGAACGGTGTCATTATTGTTATTATTTACAGATGATATTGCTTTGATTACTAAGACCAATAATGAAGCTACTGAGATTATTTCATTATTAGCCAAAAAGATAAAATTAAAGCATTTAGGTGAAATTAAAAAGTATCTAGGATTGACAATTAACAAAACCACTAATGGATTTAAAATATCTCAAGAAGATAAAATTTGCCAATTAATTAAAATGTATAAAATGGAACTTTGTAAGCCGGCAAAGACTCCAATGAGTCAGGAAGTTTGCCAAACTGATGCTCAAAGTCCCAAATTCGATAAGAACATCTATCAATCTTTGATTGGCAGCTCATCATATATAAGCAATTGGTCAAGGCCAGATATTGCTTATAGTGTTAATCAGCTGGCACGATTTAATAATGATCCACATCAATGTCATTGGCAAGCATTAAAGAGAATTTTAAGATATCTTAAAGGAACAATGCACCATGCATTGTATCTAGAGCCAAAAGGTGATTTGATTCTTAGTGCCTATGCAGATGCAAGTTTTACAACTGACATAAACACTAGAAAATCAACATCTGGGATGGCTATATTATTTGGTAAGACACTAATAGGGTGGAGGTCAATCAGACAACAGCATATCAACATGTCTCCATTCTTTTGAAGATGTGTTCTAAACAGTTTCCGTGTAAGATTTATATGTGCTCCTACACTGTCTTGAACATAAATCTTCTTTAAATTCTCCCAACATTTCGCAGCTGTTTCTTCTCCACGAATATGGACAAGCTGCTGGTCACAGAGTGTCATTCCTATTATACAGAGAGCTTGCTCATTCTTCAGTTTATATTCTTGTATTTTCTGGGAATCATTCTCATCCTCCGGATCCCATGCATCTACCTCTGATGGGTTTTGAATTATACTCCACAAACCTTCTCTGCATAGAAGTAGGCTGCATTTCATAGACCATGAAACATAGTTTGTTCCATCCAGTTTGGATATTAGAGACAAACTTGGTAAATTGACTTGTGCCATCTTTTTCTGGATATTAAACTATAATTAATAAAAACACAGCTGTCTGTTTACAGTATTGTGTAACTACACAAACTCTCACTCTATATAAGCCTGTTATATCCTGGTTAGTCTGACTGTGCAGCTGGGCCCATAACCAGTGTTAGGGATATAAACCCTAGCAGAACCTGCAGGGCAGTCAGGCAGGCAGGCAAATATATGAGATAAACGTTGTTGTAGTTTACACTCAGTAAAACAGATACATAGTGCTAGTTAAATAGTTTATTCCAGTAAGATTGTTAGCATAGTCAAAACAGTCCATATATCATACACTTAGTTCAGTCTGTCCGGGGATTAATCAGTTGCAAAGTCCAGTGTCGAAAAAGAGGTCATTAAACTTACTAATATCAGTCCAGTAATTTATCTCTTCGCAGTATGAGATAAGATGTAAAACCTCCTTTCTTCCTTCAGCAACAGTAAATAACACGCAGTTAACAATCGTCAGCAAGGAATCCAGTAAACCAGCAAACAATTCAGGTTCTCTTGCTCCCTCTTATGGTGATTTACAGCCGCACCCAAAATTACATGCTTTGCATTTAAAGTGACACACACTATCATAGTCTATATATATTATTTTACCCAAACTAAGTTAGGTAACCTATGTTATTCCTAACAACTTTGGTGAGAGTGCTTTGGGGGGGACATTTCTCTGTGGACCACCAAAATTTTCTCGCGGCCCATCAGTTGGCAACCGCTGGCATAGTCTACCTGTTCTTTTTTTCCTTTTGTGTCAAGAGCCAACTTGACGCTAGCTTGTTTTGGAATATCCTTAGAGTCTTCCCTCGACCACTTTTTGAGAAGCAGGCAACCCTATGCTTGGCATTCCCTTTCCTAAGAAGACAATCTTTCCTTCATTTCAGGCAACCCTTTGCCTCGACAATTCTAGGGTGCCACCTTTGGAACTGGTAGGGGCTCCAGACTGACTTAGCATTTTCTTCCATCTTGGCAGGTCTTCATAGGATGCTTAGATGTTGGTCCCTGGGCAGAGGGTGGAATGTTATTGTAGGAAGGGAGCTGGCATCAGAAAATGACCCTTTAAAAAGAAAGACCCTGGGTTTCATATACTTTTCTGTGAGATCTGCCATCACATTGACTCTGAAGATAATCATCTGCATTGTTCCTCGTGCATGGCAAACACCATCATCCTGCTATCAACTTTTTATTGATATTAAAAAGTATTCTCTCCGCTCACCCACCCACCCAAAATAAACTCTAATGAAAGATAGCTTTTTATTTTACACCCCCCATTGCAAGTTTCATCCATATGAATGTGTTTTGATACAATATTGTCATTCTCGGATCCCACAGAGATCAGAAAACTGAAGACAATGGTTAAAAAATATCCTTACAGTCCTCTCCAGAAAAATGATGGAAGGGGAAAGTAAATATTCCTGAAAACATTATTTCACAATAGCTTCAAACCTCCACCAGGGAATGAAATCCAGATCAGGATGCTGTTGCAGATTTCACTGTACAATACTCTTTCAACCCAAGAGTTGACCAACTTTCAACTTCAGAGCAATACATAAGTGTCAAATGCTGCAGTTAGGGAAGTAGGTCCCACCACATTTATAGAACTGCCCCATCTTGTGTTTAGGTTTGAGGAAAAATGTATTGAGAGGGAATGGCTTAGCACTCCAAATGGGATCTAGGGTTTTTGTTGTTTTTGAACCAAGGATAGAAAGCTGATCATACTTTATAGTCACTCAACTGCCACAACTCAGGACACTCCAACTATTTTCTATTTACAGAAATGGTCGAATATTTAATAAGTCAACCCAGGTTGAAGGAGATGAATGAATGGAATCTTCTCAACTTTTCCTGCAAATCACTTCAACATTAAAAACATCAGAAACATGCCTTCACCAAAAATGAGGTGCAAGCAAAACCCAAAGGTGCTTTTTAGCACATGCAAGCAAGGTGATGACTTCATTACAATAGAATGGTGTTTAGATACAAAGCTCTACAGCTACCGTACTTAACATGATTTTGTTGGGTGGATTATCTTGGAATGTTGGAGCTGCTGAAAATCCACTCTCTCCCAACCCATTATTATAGTCAGATAAAACACAAACTAGATTCATGTTTACTTGTTTATTAGATGGTAAAGTAGATAATCGGGAAATCAAAGATTTATTTTTAAAAAGGGCAAAACTGAAAGACAGATATTTCAAAAATGTATAGTTATCTAAACAGATATCACAGTTTAACAAGCTCAACAGTTTTTTCTGTTTTGCACACAAATCTTGCAATGTTATCTAGAAAGTAAAAGTTCAATTTCTGTTTGACCAAACATATATCAAAGTTCCATTAAATAAGAACCAAGAAAAAAATTATATAGTCCAAGAAGCATTTCCTTTTCTTCAATTTACTTGATTGCCAAGTGTGTAAATTATAGTTGAGTTTTTCTTTCTAGACTTTTAGCTGCATCTTTTAACTTTCCAACTAAATCCTAAAATATGAAATGAGAGCTTCAGAAAAAAATATTTTGCTATAAATAACTAATTTTATGCATTATTAGAAATTCCTTTTGTACCAAAAATCCCAGTGACTTAAGAATGTATTTTTCTGCCATTTGATATTTTCAGGAAACATAGAAACTACTTCATTATTTTAATTAGCATACTTCATGAATGTACCTAGAGGGAACATTGTTGTCATAACATCACATATAAAATTAATGAGTTTGGACTGGGACAGATAGGTTGATAAAATAACATTTCTTTTTTCTTATTTGTCAAATAATACACAGAATATAATTTCTTACAGCTTAATTGAATATAAAGAAGTAAACTAACCCAACAATTTTCTGAGCTGGAAATCCTAAAGTTATCATTCTAATGCATACCATTGAAACATGGAATTTTTACAAAAAGGTGATTTGTACATATAGAATTTTGAAACAATATGAAATTGTAGAAAGTTGCTTATTTCTTAGTTTTTCAAGTTTTGGAAAGTTTACTCCTTTTTCCCTCAGTAAGTTTATTAGGTTTAATGAAGCTATCAATACATAGTTTATGTAAAGCCAAATAAGCCAAATTTCATGCTCAGTACATATTATACATTCCAGTATGCAATACAGAAAATGGGTTTCATCTAATGTAACATATTTGAAACAGCTTCCACCCATTCTACCAAAAATATTTTTGCATAGTGCAATCATTTATGTGAATCAACTTGAAAACTCATATTGGAAAAATAGAAAAGCTAGTAATTCTGTAGCATTTTGTATTTTAAAAGATGTGAAACATCTTATATTTTAAATGAAACATTTTATAATTTTATGGACTTTTAGTACATTCTGGTGCTACTCTATCAGTACACAAAAGGGTAAGATAAAATACCTGCAATTGTTCCATAGAACAACTAAAATTAATGTCCTCATGAGATCTTGAATCAATGTTCTAAAATAACAAAATCCCAAACATTAGTTGTTAATAAGTAACAAAACTAAAGCAATAATAATCTACTAATATTTGAATTTTCTGGATGGATGCTATACCTCTACTCTTAAGGTCATCAAATAGGCAGGGCAATAATTTTTATGAAGTTGATTAATCTAAAGAGAAGACAGAAGGAAAAAATAAGTTTTGCAAATCAAAGTGAAAAAGAAATAATACCCATTTGATTGAAATTACCTTGATTTGATATTCCAGTCTCCAACAAACATCAGTTACATGTAGTGGACATCTGCCTATACTGCGAACATCATAAATATCTATTAGACTAAAATATGCTGAACAGCATAACTGTTGCAAGATCATATAGGTAAAAAAGAAAAGTAGCAATGTATTAATTGTGCTTTTGTGGAGCATATTACTTCAATTAGATAACTTGCGAAGATGTTTATTATTTTCAAGATGCATTTGAAAGTTGGAAGATTAATATAATTTCCCTGGACATACCTTCCCAACATGATTTCCAAGGAATCCTTATGTATCTAACAAAAAGGGAAAGGATAAAAGTGTGTAAGCTTCTACAGATTACACAAAAATTAATGGAAGGAATGAAAAAAATATGTGTTTAGAAACCTGATATTCAGTGCAAAAATGTTCAATTCTTTCTCTGTTGAATTTACAGTCTTCTAGATGGGTGCTAAAAGGAAAAGCAAGATGTGTTACCAATAAACCTAATACAAGTCAAACAAAAAATTTTTAAAAGTTGAAGAGTTTTAGAATACCTTATAATAAATTTGTCAGCTTTTTGCTTTCCTGCTTCTATTATATAAGTGGTAGCTGCTGTGTGGCAGTATTTTAATATTGCTGGATCAATATGTTCCAAATCTGGGTAATCTAAAAAGAAATGAATGCTTGATGATGACATATTTCAGGAGGATACACACACTGTATACACCAGGGGTCAGCAACCTGTAGCTCTGGAGCCGCATGTGGCTCTTTCATCTCTCTGCTGTGGCTCCATCGCCAGTTGGTTCCACAATTGATAGGGCTTTTGGTTAGGACAGGTAGAGGAAAAAGGATGCCGCACTAGGAGGAGACTCTATGGTAGGGGAACTGGACTTCTGGTCAGTTCCAGAATTGAATGGGGGGCTTCCAGTTACGACCTTTGTGGCTCTTTGAGTGCTTAAGGTTGCCGACCCCTGGTATATATAATGGTTTTCCCACACAGGAAGACTAAGCTCCATGCAATTATAGCAGCTGGGCAAGCAGAAGGCTATCATATTGACATCATTTACAGTTCTAAACACAATATTGGGAAGGACTTGTTTTCATAGATCTCCCTTTATAACGAACTAGCAGGGTACCCGTGCTTTGCTACGAACCTATGTGATCGGGCAAATTTTGGGGGAGGAAAATAAGGGGAAAAAATTGTGCCTCTGCCTACCAGCATCCATCAGTATTCATCTGGCTAGCATCCTGTCAGTGTGTGAGAGAGTTCAGGGCTGTTTGGAAACTGAAACAGTATTTGCTGTGTGAGCAAGGAGACAGCAAGGAGCCTGGGCGTGGCTTAGCTGAACTGCAGTCAGAAGCAATTTCTTTTCAGGGGGAGCAGAACTCCTTAGCATCAGAGCGTGTTAATAATAATATAGGAAATACTAATGCTCTGATGGTCATTTTGAAAAATCCTTTGTTAGCGAGCACCTAGAAGCCAAGAGGAACATACGTGCCAAAGTTCAACGCTTTACGGTTCTGGAGATTTTGTGATGACGTGTGAGTGCTTTTTCGCTTAGATTAGATTCACTCAGATAGATTAAAATGTTGGGGAAATTTCAGTAACCTTTCATCTCAAACATGAATAATTTCTGCAAGATCTGAGACATATTGACTATTTCCCGCACCAAATTGATCTAGATTTATCCCCAACAGCCAGAAAACACCAAAGAAAGGAAGAGCTCAGCCATTACCTCAACAGTACCTTTCCCACTCATGGCCACCCATTCTTTGAACCCGACCAACAGAGTTCGGGAAGTAATCAGGTTACTTAACAAGTGTCAGTAGACATACTTTTGGAAAATTGCGGTCTTCTCGTTCGGGAGGAGGGTTAAAACCCCTTTTTGCCAATGAAGGGGCAGAATACCGTGCCCGGAATACCGTGCCACTCCTCTAACCCCACTTCCCAACTCTGATTTTTGCTCTCTTTTTCCCGCCTCCCTTTTAAGAAAATCCGAACTGGTTTTTCAGGGTTGCAGTTCAAACTAGAACCTATCGGAGGCTGCGCGTATTCAGTCCAAGCTCCCGCAGAGCCCTTCAGGCAAACGGTAAACGCGAGCTCCCTTTCTCTTGCGAGAGGCGGTCGGCCTACCCTCAAGAAACCTCGCAGTTTGGTAAACAGCTGACGAATCTCAATCGTCCGAGAAATTCAATTTGAAGGGGAAAAAAAGCCCAAACCATCAAAACAAATGAGCGGTGTTTTTGACCCATAAGATTAAGAGCAATGTATTACAACCATTAAGTAAAAGAATATCACATGATCACAATAAAGCTTGCGGGATCCAGGTACTAAACCCAACTCGGCGCCTTATTCAAGTACATTCACCCTCTTACACCCCCGACTTTTGCAAAAATCACTTCCGACTGTCAAGAGGGCTGGGAATGCCTCGCTGGAACATTAAAAACAAAAACTCTGGAAACCAACCAGCTACGACCGTTAGGGAGGCGGAGGAAACCACGTCCAAACGGCACGTTTTCTTTCTCTGCTTTCGGGAGAGAGTGGTTCTACTTTCGCTTTTAGGCCACAAATAAGCGAGGCACCCTTGAATTTCTGCAGGGAAATGACAACCGCAGGGAAATAGAGAACAGCAGCGAGAACAAAACCCCGAAAAAAAAAGGGAGGGAGAGGACGCAGCACACCATTTGAGCGCTTGATGAAAAACGACAGTGGGCGCTAACGCGAAGCAGCCAGGCAGCAAAGAGGAGCGATTCGCCGTGCTGCCAGCACGCTTCCCTCGGCCGGCACCCAATTCCCAGCGCAGCGCGCAGCTCTTCTCCCCGCCGGCGAACGGAGGCTCGCGTCCGTAAACCAGCACTCACCAAAGGCGGCCTGCTCAGTCTGGCCGCTGAGCAAGCTCTGGAAGGCACCCTGGAACACAGCCTGGAAAGATCGGACCGAGAAACTGCTCGGTTCAGCCAGGATCTGTAAGCCACTCTGCACTGGATCAGAGACCTCCATTGTGAGCTGCGCTGTGACCTTTGACACGTCTACCACGTGATAGCCGCGCTCAGCTGATTCTGCAGCAGAAGAAGCTGGGCTGCGCACGCCGCAGTTTGCTGCTACTCCAGGTAGGTGGCTGCAGCTCTGCTTCCTTGCTCTGGGATTGTTAGTTGCGAAGTCGCGACCCCATGGATCACATTCCTCCAGGCCTTCCTGTCTTCTACCATCTTCTGGAGTCCCCTTAAGCTCACGCCTACTGCTTCAGTGACTCCATCCAGCCACCTCATTCTGTCGTCCGTTCTTCTATTGCCCTCAGTCTTTCCCAGCATTATGCTCTCCTCCAGTGAGTCTTCCCTTCTTTTTATAAAAAAATTATTTCAGTTTTCCACATTTTAAAAACATCTTTTTTTAGTGAACAGCATGATTCCAGGTTTTCACATTTCTGATGGATTTCAAAGATCAGTCATTGTGCAGAGTGCCAAGATGTCTCACCACATACGTGGCATTTATTCTTTTTATACCCCTTTTATAAGCAAGAAAACATAGCATAGCATTTGGATTGGAGAATAGATCCCACATGGGTGAAACTTCTCAACCACATTGGTACAACCTCCCAACCAATCCTTAAGACAAGTGGTGATGTTAGTAAATGAGATCACCTATATGTCTTCACCAAGATATAGGGAATGAGATCATGCAAGTAGCCAAGAGGCCCCATATAGGTTTTAAACACTGCAGCTTCCTGTTAGCATCTAGTGCCATCTATAGGATCTCAGGAGTTACTACATTTCACTCTTTTTTATTTTGTTTAGACAAGGCCTAATCATAAGAGAGGTTGGTAAGGGACTTATAATAATCAGTAGAAGAGCACACTTGCAGTTGTTCATACAAGGCATATACTTGACCCTGAGGCAAGGTAGAAGACATTGGATGACCGCAGCCTGGAGAGGATTGTCAGGAAAAGGCCATTCAAAAGTGTTGGGGACTTTCACAAGGAGTGGACTGAGGCTGGAGTCAGTGCATCAAGAGCCACCACACACAGACGGATCCTGGACATGGGCTTCAAATGTCATATACCTCTTGTCAAACAACGTCAGAAGTGTCTGGGCTAAAGAAAAACAGAACTGGTCTGTTACTCAGTGGTCCAAAGTCCTCTTTTCTGATGAGAGCAACTTTTGCATCTCATTTGGAAACCAAGGACCCAGAGTCTGGAGGAAGAATGGAGAGGCACACACTGCAAGATGCTTGAAGTCCAGTGTGAAGTTTCCACAGTCTGTGTTGGTTTGGGGAGCCATGTCATCTGCTGGTGTTGGTCCACTGTGCTTCATTAAGTCCAGGGTCAACGCAGCCATCTGCCAGGAGATTTTGGAGCACTTCATGCTTCCTTCCGCAGACGAGCTTTATGGGGATGCTGACTTCATTTTCCAGCAGGACTTGGCACCTGCCCACACTGCCCAAAGCACCAAAACCTGGTTCAATGACCGTGGGATTACTGTGCTTGATTGGCCAGCAAACTCACCTGACTTGAACCCCATAGAGAAACTAGGGCATTGCCAAGAGAAAGATGAGAGACATGAGACCGAACAATGCAGAAGAGCTGAAGGCTGCTATTGAAGCATCCTGGTCTTCCATAACACCTCAGCAGTGCCACAGGCTGATAGCTTCCATGCCACGCCACATTGAGGCAGTAATTGCTGCAAAAGGGGCCCAAACCAAGTACTGAGTACATATGCATGCTTATACTTTTCAGAGGTCTGATATTGTTCTATGTACAATCCTTGTTTTATTGATTGCATGTAATATTCTAATTTTCTGAGATTGTGGATTTGGGGTTTTCATGAGCTGTAAGCCATAATCATCTCAATTATGACACATCACAGCTTGAACTATCTTGCTTTGCATGTAATGAGTCTATCTCATATATTAGTTTCACCTTTTAAGTTGCTTTACTGAAATAAATGAACTTTTGCACGATATTCTAATATTTTGAGTTTCACCTGTATATTGAAAACAAGGGCGATGTGTAACTAATTGTAAATTTATACATATATAATTAAAGACATTAAAAGAATGAAGAAGTTATTGTAACAAGGTATAACACGTCAATAATAGAAATGTATAAGTGTAACTACTGTTCAAATCTTGCTGTAAAATGTAAGTAGACATATATGTTTGTTTGTCTGTTTTTAACTTTATAAATATTGAATAAAAACTTTTTTAAAAAATAAAAAGGTCTTTTTCCCAACCTCTATTTCTGCTTAATACGATTTCCTCCTCACCATATGTCCTGATAGTTTTCTAAACCTCATTTTTAATTTTTAACACCACGTATATGGGTTTCCACTTTTGGTCCCAGCTCCAGGCTTTACTTCTCCACTGGATTTGGACTCGCCACCTCTTTTCAGCTCCTTCCACTCAAATTCGGAACCTATGGGGCAAATCTCATCAGTCATTAAACGTGTATAGTTTATTGTTTCTGCAAGGTTAACTTCAGTGGGTTCCCATGCGGAATACTGGTCCAGGTGGTCGGTAAAGACACAGGGCCTTTTATGTGGATGTAATGCGTCCAACCCTTCTCTGCCGTCTGGATTGCAGTTTTGGAGGTGAGTAGTACTTGGAATGGTCCTTCCCACTTCGGGGTTCACTTCTCCTCCTTCCAGCTCCGGATTAGCACCCAATCACCGTGGTGGAATTTATGGACTGGAAACTTCAAAGGTGGTGTTTGAGCCAAAAGTCCTTGTTTCCTGAGGAAATCAAAATATCTGGACAGTTTATGTACATATTGCTTCCAATGTCTTTTCTACGTTGGGACCGTATTCCTAATAGGGCTAAAGGAAGGCATTTAGTCCATGGCATATGCGTTTCCAATATCAATTTGATCTCACAATGCTCTTGACCCCACTGTTGTTGTAGCATTACTGCAGGGAAAAGCTTCCACCCAGCCTGTGAGGTGGTCTACTATGACCAATAAATATTTTACCCTCCTCACTTTTGGTAATTCTGTAAAATCCACTGAAAGGGTCTTAGCGCTGGTGGCCTTCCACCAATCTGTTGTTTTCTGACGGCTTGTCTATTCACCTTTTTACAAATTAAACATTTATCTATAACTGATTTTGCCACAGGGTATATTCCAATATAACCATAACATTTCAAAAGTTCATCTACAATGGCTTGAATTCCCCAATGACTTCCTTCATGTAGTTTTTCCAGCAATTCTCATGCAATTGGTTTGCTTATTATTTGTCTTCCATCTGGAAGAAACCACTTTTCCTTCTCCCCCTCCTGTCCTCCTCTTTGTTGTAACTCTTTCTGTTCTTTCTCAGTGAACACATTAATTTCTTCTACTGATTCTCCTTTTTGGTGTCACTGCTATTTTTCTAGGTTTTTATGCGGAATTCATTATTTCCTTTATCAGAGTTTCATGTACTAGTTCTTTTCCCTTGCTGTTTATCATTCCTCTTTCCACCCAAACTTGCCAAAAGCATGCACCATCCCAAACACATATCTGGAATCTGTGTCCTTCCAAAATACAGATCTTAATTTAGTGCATACAATCCACAAGTCTGAGTAGACCAGCTTCGAGGCAGACCCCCCTGCTGTATGTCCATTTATAATAGCATACCCATTTTTCTGTGCTCCCCCCCTCCAAATCAGGTCTTATTTTAGTTTGTAAGTCTATTACTTCAGAACAATAATGTTCTAATCCATATTGATCCTCTGATCTAGTGTTGGCTAAGAACAGTGCTGGTTTCAAATTGTAAAACCAAATCTGCTGTATCAAAATCACAGCAGCAATCACTTAGATTACTAGATGCATTATTTTTGACAGGAATGCCACAGGATTCCTTTGTCCTGCCCAGTCCTGAGCCAACACCCCTTGTACAATTCCATTCTCTGTGTTAACAAAGAGGTGGAATGGCTTTTCCAAATTTGGCAAACTTAATACAAGAGCCTTGGTTAAGGCTTGTTTCAAATTTTCAAAGCTTCCTCTTTCATGTCCCTCCCATTTCAAATTCCAAAGTTTAGATTCAATTAACTTTGCATACAGGGGTTTGGTAAGATCAGCACACCCATCAACCCATAGTCTGCAGTATCCCACCAAGCCTAAGAATTTCCTTAGTTCTTGTTTGTTTTTAGGTAAGGGTTGGGACACCACCCCTTCTATTCTTCTATAGAAATTGAGTACTGTTTTTACCTAACTACTCTGTTTGGATTCTTGAGTGTTATTTTAAGTGGGGTTCAAAACCCTCATTGGAATTGTCTCTACTGGCCCAAATTCAAATTTCAATTGAAGATTTGCCAAGGAATCCCTTCCCAGCAGATTAACAGCTGCTTCTGGTATATATAACATTTCTACCTCTTTTTATTTTGTCCTTTTATTCCCAATTGGAGGGGCATTAATATGGGTACTTGAAATCCTTCCCCTTTTACTCCAGATACTCTAATACTTTGTCCACTTAATTTCATATCTTCACTTAATACTGATATTGAAGTTCTCGCTGCCCCAGTGTCAATTAAAAACACCACTTCCTCTTTCTTAGGTCCCACTACTAAATTTATCAAGGGCTTTCTGTGAGACCCAAAAGGGAATCGCCTCTGACACCCCTAGTATTGACTTTCATCTTCTGCCATCATATTATACACTTGCACCTCCCTTCTTTGGATCGGGCAGTCTTTCCTGAAATGTCCAGGCTGGCCACACCCAAAACATCTCCTCGCTCTGTCCTCCCTGCCTGTACCACCACGTCCTCTTCCTCTTTTCACTTGGTTCCACCCTCTCATTCCCTCATTTCTATTGCTGCCACTTTCTCTAACTCCTTCTTTTATCCTTGACAGATAGCATTTTGGACAAAAATGCCACTGGCTGTTTAAAAGCCATTCCCTTATCCGTGTAGCACTAGGCTTTTCTTCTAGTAGTTTTTGCATACAAGTCTTTCACAGCCTACAATATCCAGACAATCCTATATATTTTCTCTCTTTCTACATATTGTAATTTCTAACTCATCTGTGTAACAATTCCTAAAAGGGCAACAACTTGTGTTGCTAACAAACAAATGAGGTATTTTGAGTCAATGCTCTGAAATATATTTGGGTCAAACTTTAGTGCCAATTTTCTGCTTTGAGCAAAATATGGATTAAGAGCATATATAGAGTGCACCTGGTTTGACTTTTGATTCCCTTGCTGAGCTAAGCTCCATTGTAACTTGTGCTAAACTGGGAGCTGAGCCAGCTGCAAAGATCTTCTCTAGTTAGACCCAATTTGTTAATTAATTTTCTATAGGGTGGTTTTTCCCATCCTTCAAGTAATTGCCCTAGGGGACTTGAAGGCTCAATTTTTAACTTTGGGTTTTTCTGAATTTTCTTTACACACTTCTTTTGGGACCCATTTGAATTGCCCATGGCTAGTTACCAGACTGGAGCAATCCTTACCAACTTGTTCCAGTGAGACCTTCGTACACACACAGTTGGCACATGACCAGGGTGAAAGACACCCTTTACTGCCGCTAAAGGTTTGATCAGTCTCTGCCCTGGAGAGCCTGAATCTCCCAGCAGATGCTGGCTTATTTTAAAGATCCAAACTCTTCTCTATCAACCTAGAATCTCCCAGCAAACGCTGGCTTATATTTAAAGATCAAGATTTATACAGACCTTCATTCAGTTCCACACACCTCTCACACAAGTCTTAAGATTCTCACAGCTCTACCTAACCTCCCCAACTGCCTAAGGGCAGTGGGTTCTCACCAGAACCGCGTGTTCTTACATGACCAGAACTACTTACCCCTAGGTCCATGCATGGAGTTGCCCAGTTGTTCTGGCAATCTCATCAACCTGGTCCATTCCTTCTCTTTTTCCGTTTTCAACTGATCTCTATTTAAAGCAAGGATCTGTGTCTCGTTCCATGTTCCCGAACAGCTGACCTGACTGTGGACCATTGTAAATCAACAGGCCATGCCTTCCTCACTCAACTCTGCTGTCCAGGGCATCAGAAGAGAAAAACAGATTGCCTGCATTCTCCACCAGTTGGAAATAACTCAAAGCCAACAAAAAAAACTTGGATAGTTGAAAACAAAGAGGATTTATTAAAAAGAAATAACAGACAGTTTGCAAAGTGCCGGTGGTCTTTAGAACCTCAACAAACAGGTTCAAATCAAAAGCCACACCTTTGAATTCCAAAACATACTTTATATACAGTTTCATCTCGTCACCCAAGTTCCCTCCTTCTTGAGACTCATTCCCTCTCAACTTCAGACTCATTGGATATGCCCTCAGGTATTGCAGCTAATCCTAGGATGTCTCCAGGGAGAATTTTCTCCTTCCATTATGTTCTCATCCGTACCCCTCCATACCTCTCACTTTGGCTGCCCACGTGGCATCTTTCCTTAGCATTAAGGAATGTAGCATCCCCTCATCAGGGCCGCTTTCTAACTTTTGAAGATACAATTTTAAAAGCTCATCATGTACTACCATTTTTCCAAAGAGATTATAACAACCCCCCAAAACATAATAATATAAAAGGCATATTATACATAATATAAAAATATAAAAAGGCTTAACAATGGAGCATGTCAAAAGTATAAAAGCAAAGCATGTATATACAGGGAGATATATTTCATTTGATAACAGATTAACAGAATTGGAAGGTCATCTAGTCCAGGGGTCCCCAACCGCCGGTCCGCGGACCGGTACCGGGCCGCGGAACAAGCCTTACCGGGCCGCTGGTTGCTGGGCGCCGCCATTTTTTTTGACGAAAAATCACTTCCGGTGACGTCACCGGAAGTGATTTTTCGTCAAAAAAAGATGGCGGCGCCCAGCTGACGCCGGAACCGGGCCGCGGCGCCCAGCTGACGCCGGAACCGGGCCGCGGCGTCGAAAAGGTTGGGGATCCCTGATCTAGTCCAACCCCCATTTGTGAAACCTTTAAGCATCTTATATACCATTTTATTTTTGAATTTACTTATTTCTTACAGTCGTAGAGGAGATCAACCCTGACTGCTCTTTAGAAGGCCAGAACCTGAAGATGAAACTCAAAGACTTTGGCCACCTAATGAGGACAGACTCGGACTTCCGGTGATGTCTTCTTCGCTGTCGGACCGGAGACCGCGATCATCCGCGGCTTCGATCTGTGCTCTCCCGTTGGTGGGACCGGATCACCTGTATTTGGGCCCAGAACCACCCTGTAGGGGTGGTGAAGAAGGGGGAGACCGCTAGCTGGGTCGAGGGGAGCCCCATCTCCCCTCCCTGGCTAGGCATTTTACTCCTCTCCGAAGATGGCTGTAGCGGTGGTCAAATATGGCCACCCTGAAGAGGAAGAACTAACCGGGACAAGATTGTGCTGGAGCGGTGAAGAAGAGGACAGCATGAAAACCGGGCTAATGAGGCGCAACATTTAAATACAAGGTACCCCAGAATTAAATTTTTAAGGAATTTTTAAGAAAGATAATTAAAGCGGAGACCAGAGAAAGTGAAGAAAACATTTTTTTTGACAGCTAAAAGTGGCTTTGAACTTTGAAAGGAGGAAGCTAGAAGAAGATATCTGTTTAAATTGGATAAATATATGATCTTGGCACTAAACAGGCATAACTAAAGCTGAACTTGAACGTGTCAAAGAAAAAACAAAAAACAGTAATTGATATTTGCACTTATTGGAACTTTGAATTTTAAAAGCCCTAAATAGAGAGAAAAAGCTGGGGGGGAGGAGGGCAGAATTTGGATATAACAGAGAGTGCCATCTAGTGGTAAAAGAAATTATTTGTGACTCTTTATAACCTGGCTCTTTTAAAAGTTGGATTTGATACTAAGTGAAACTTTGTTACAATAAAATAGAGACCCTGGAAAATGAAAGTGGAATATTGAACATTAAAACAAAGAAAGAAGCAGGAAAAAACTATATTGGGATTGTTTTGTGATCTTGGCATAAACTTAAATTTATGGACATTGGACTATTTGATGAATCTGGGAAAACCTAAAGAGGAATTAATAAAAGCTGATCGTTGGAAATAAACTCTATAGACATTGGGTTGAATCAAATTACTGGATAATTGTGGACATAAAGAAGAAAGAAAGAAAGAAAGAAAGAAAGAAAGAAAGAAAGAAAGAAGAAAGAAAGAAAGAAAGAAAGAAAGAAAGAAAGAAAGAAAGAAAGAAAAAGAAAGAAAAAGAAAGAAAGAAAGAAAGAAAGAAAGATATAGATCAGAAGTGTTTAAAAATGGCAGAACATTTTTTGGAATTAAAAATGGAACTAAGAAATATGAAAGAAATGCTACAAGAAAGAGGCAAGTCGTTTGGTTTTGCCTTACAATTCTTAGAAATGGCGATTCTAGAGCATGAAGAACAACAAGGAGTGCCAGAAGAGGAGGAGCTGATTAAAGAAGAGGCCATCTTCAATGAACAATTGAAGCAACGAATATTAAAGCGAAGGAAAAGAATAGAAATTAAAAACTGGAGATTTGAGGAGGCAATCAAAAAGGGGAATATTTTGAAAACCAAACAAAGTAAAAGGAAACATCAGAAAAGGGACTTACAGAAGGAAGCTTTAAAGAGGGAGGGGGATAAAATCTGGAGTAAGAAAAGGAAGGGAAAAATGAAGGGAAAAAGAAGTAAAAAAAAACGGAACCAGGAAATAAAGAAATACAGGAATAGAACAAAAATGAAAAGAAATTGTTTATTCAAAAGTCATAGAGACAATGATTAATTAAGAATTAAGAAAGGGGATTCTGCACGGTGATGAGATGTAGAATAAATGCATTAGAAGTAACAAATTATTTAGAAAGTAGGAAACTATAGATTATTAAAATGAAAGATTGGAACTGATATTATTGGAATACTTGTTTTTTGTTAAACTATATACAGAGATAAATGGAATAAATGTGAAAAAAGAGAAATTATAAGTTTATTAACTATGTTTAATGAATTTATAGAATATAGTTGAAATGAATTATGAGGATTGTTGTAATGAGATTAGCATCAGTTTTTTATGATGAATTGAATAGATTAATTTTTCTTTTTGAAATTATGTTTTTGATGTAATTGTAGGGGAAAGTACCATGCGGAATCTGATTTAAAAGGTAGATATGTTATGTAGTTGCTAGGAGATTGTTATTAATTATTAAGGTGATAATTAAAAAGTTAAATGATTATTGGGACTTAAAGGGGAATTAATTA